ACAGCACTCGCATACACGTAGCACCGTACACCTGCACAGGGTTATCCGTCGGCAGACAACTCTACGCACGCGACACCCGTATAACTTTATTATTGACGATCCTTCGTACCTCGGAGCCAACGCTGATAATTCAGCTCGGCCCAAGAATAACGGGACAGAAGCAAGAGATAGTAGTGTTAATAAGAATTGAAAAGAGAGAATGAGGAAAAGAAAAGGGTAGGAACAAAACGGAAAAGACTGGAAATAGAAAAAGAAAAGAAATGAGGAAAGAAAAAGAAAAGGGTGTACTCTTGAACACGATAATTATTATAAAATATCAAGTTGGTTATACATATGATTGCACTCACAAAACGAAAAGAACAGTAATTTTTATGTGCCTGCTGGCGAGATAGGTCGTAAAATAATCAAGTAATCTGACTGTGAAACACTGATTGACGCGACAGAGACAGAGACAGAGACGGAGTATAGTAGTCGTTCACAAAAATCAGTGCACACAGATTGAAATAATTTAACAGAAGAGACACTTGAATTACTCACTGAAATTAACAGAATCAGAGAACGGAGTGTATAGTAATAGTATATATAATGGTATAATAATAAGGCAAGTATGTTAATTATTATAAAATATTAGGTTGGTTATATATATATATATATATATATATGTATATGTGATTACACTCGCAAGACGAAATGATACAATAAATGGTCAGATTGCGAACGTTGATTGACGCGACTGAGACAGAAACAGAGACAGAGACGGAGACAGAGACAGAGACAGAGACAGAGCATAATAGTCGCTTCACAAAAATCAAAGCACACAGATTGAAGTAAATTAACCAAAGAGACACTTAAGTTACTTGCGGAAATCAACAGAATCAGAGAACAGAGTATATGGTAATAACGTATATAGTGATATAGTAATACAATAAATTGAGAGTATAAGATGCGATTAAATATTGAGGCAGACCGGGTACGATTGGAAAATCTTAGGTTCACTTACTCAAGCAACGTGATTGACTGTTCGGAAGGCCGGCACAGACCCCAACAGAAGATTGCTCGAACTCGCAGAGTACAGCAGATGAAACGAGAATTAACAAACTACGCGACTAAGTGTCGGTAGGCGCCTTGACAGTATGTGTCTTACAATATTAAGAGAACCCGCACTCCTATTCTGAACTACTAAGCAGTAAGTCGACTCGAAAGCCTAGAGGCAATACGGAAGACTTGCTACTTCTAATGCTACCCGCTGTCCTGCCTGTGGGCCCTCCGGGAGCTCTTTATATAGGGAAGGCCTTCCACCTTGGGCAAGTGGTAGGCGGAGAGTTCTCGGAATGGTAGAACCGCTTAGAAAGGGTAACGGAAGATGAGATGAGAGAGGCTCTGGGAGAGGGAACGCA